CTTATTGTTGATTTAATCAAAAAATGTTGTTAACAAAATTTGTTTAGAATTACTTCAGGAACAGTGTTTGTTAATACAATTTTTTGCTAACTTGAAATTTTAATTTCCCTCTGAATAGTATGCTATCAAAATTAATTATCTCAATAATTATTGTTTCTATCAAAAAATGTTTTAAATAAAATTAAATTAAAAAAAGAGAATGTTTTTAAAAGATTTCAATTTAAATTGGTGAATACCGTTATTGTTAATCATGAATCATTGATAAGATTATTTTTCCCCGGAAGTTTACCTAAGACATCTTATTTTAAATAAAAAACCGTTTGATTCAATTTAATTCTATTAAAACCACTGCTAAATCAAGATGTTTCCTTCAACACTTCTTTTAACTGTCCTTTTTTTACCCAACCAGTCGGAATGTTAATTAATCACTTTCCAAACAGTTATTCTGTAGTTGGAGCTTTTATATATAAACCCAATCCAACGTATATTTTAGTGGTTCGGTTCTTAGCTGAATAATTCCAAAATATCCCAACAGATGGCGCCACATGCGTATTGCAGGTGCTTGTCAAAATTGAAACTGAATATAAGTTTATTGTAAGGAAAAAGTCTTATTTAATTGGTTTAAAAGGCTGTATTTAACTCAAAATTGGTTTATCTAGGGTATTATAAACAAGGTAAGTGAATTAAATCAAAAAAAGATATTTTTAATTTATTTATTTTAATTAAAATCGATTTAAATTAACTAGAATTAACGAATTTGTTATGAATGCGAGATAATCGTAAAGAATTCGAATTGTTTTAAAATTAATAAAAATTAGGTTAAAAAATCGTAATAAAATTTTATTATTTTAAGGTTATCCAACTTGGCTCGGTTACCATGGTGATTAAGATCCAAACATTGCAGTCGTGCAGTTGCTTGTCAAAATTGGTGTTGAATTTAAGTTTTTTTTTAATTAACAACACATAATTAATTGGATTTAAAGGTTGTGTTTAATTCAAAATGGATAAATGGATGAAATTATAAGCAAGGTAAGTGGATTAGATCAATTAAAATGTACAAGAATTTAGGGTTAAATAACAATTAAAACACTAGTCCTAGAAAGTTTTAGGTTTAGCCGGGTGTCTTAGAGGAATGTTTATAAATAATTTGTAGAGAAAAACTATAGCATTCCATTTAAAATAACGAAGTTGGGGTCCATTTCCGGTATAACCGGAAGTTGAAGAATACTGAAAATATTTTAGCTGAAACGAGATCCTCGGATAAACGCTATATGCAAATTTTCAGAGAAATAGTGCCAGTAGTTTGCCACATAGATATACAGGGTGTATCTGAATGACTGCAACAAACTTCAAGGGGTGATTCTTTAGTGAATTTTAAGGGTTATTATATATTTTAGTTATTATAACGTCCATTATATAACGTCATATTGACAAGAGATAAAACAGAAAACGAATTTATAACAACATGTGCGCCATCTACTTACACTTTATATCAAGCGTGACAAAGAGAAAATATCGGTATTTTGATGTGGATGTGATAATAAAAAATAGAGAATGGCCCATCATTTTCCCGATGCGTTAACTCTTCGCCCAACTCGGTACAAAGAACGTCAAAAACAATATTGGTAATTAGTAAACTGTAAGGATATGACTTCAATAATAATTAAACTCTGTGATTTAGAGAAAAAAGGCGGTTTTGGCGTTGGGAGCTTTCCGAATAGCGATGGAGAAAACGCAAACATAATTAAAATGAAGGAAATAATTATATAACGTCATATTGACAGGAGATAAAACAGAAAACGAATTTATAACAACATGTGCGCCATCTACTTACACTTTATATCAAGCGTGACAAAGAGAAAATATCGGTATTTTGATGAATCTCCATTAAATTTCCTTTAAAACAACTCCAAACACGATCAAGTTATCTTCAAAAACAACCAAGATAATCTTATTATCACATTATTTTGACAGTTAATGTTTGACGTTTGACATTTTTAGGTTAACTTACAAAAAAAAATTATTTTTAAAGGTAAACGGGTCGTGTTTGGACTCATTTTACAAAATTTCTTTTTCTTAATAAGTTGCTAAAGATAAGAAAGAATTTTTATCAACTTCCGGTTTTTAAAATTTCAAGCTTTTTATAAAAAATCTTAATCTCCATTAAATTTCCTTTAAAACAACTCCAAACACGATCAAGTTATCTTTAAAAATAACCAAGATAATCTTATTATCACATTATTTTGACAGTTAATGTTTGACGTTTGACATTTTTAGGTTAACTTACAAAAAAAAATTATTTTTAAAGGTAAACGGGTCGTGTTTGGGCTCATTTTACAGGATTTTTTTTTCTTAATAAGTTACTAAAGACAAAAAATAATATTTATTCACTTCCAGTTTTTGAAATTTCAAGTTTTTTTATAAAAAATCTTAATCTCCATTAAATTTCGTTTAAAACAACTCCTAACACGATCAAGTTATCTTCAAAAACAACCAAGATAATCTTATTATAACATTATTTTGACACTTGATATTTGACGTTTGACATTTTTAGGTTAACTTACAAAAAAAATTATTTTTAAAGGTAAAGGGGTCGTGTTTGGACTCATTTTACAAGATTTCTTTTTCTTAATAAGTTGCTAAAGATAAGAAAGAATTTTTATCAACTTCCGGTTTTTAAAATTTCAAGTTTTTTTATAAAAAATCTTAATCTCCATTAAATTTCGTTTAAAACAACTCCAAACACGATCAAGTTATCTTTAAAAACAACCAAGATAATCTTATTATCACATTATTTTGACAGTTAATGTTTGACGTTTGACATTTTTAGGTTAATTTACAAAAAAAATTATTTTTAAAGATAGACGAGTCGTGTTTGGACTCTTTTTACAGGATTTCTTTTTCTTAATAAGTTGCTAATGAAAAAAAAAGAATTTTCATCCACTTCCGGTTTTTAAAATTTCAAGTTTTTTCATAAAAAATCTTAATCTCTATTAAATTTCGTTTAAAACGAATCCAAACTCGACTAATTTATCTCAAAAAACGACCGAGATACAACAAAAAAAAATTAAAAACAATCGACAATCGCTTTTCTAAAAATTGTCGTAACTCCGTTGTTTTTTGAGATAACCCCATGGTGTTTGGGCTCATTTCACGCGATTTCTCACAAAGATAACGAATTTTTAATAAAAAATAAAATACAATTATTATTTTTAAATAACCAAAACTATTAACAATTCCGGATTTTAAAATTTCAAGTTTTTTAATAAAAATTCTTAATCACCATTTCTCCGTTCTCATTGATTTCGTCGTTATTTGTAAAAATGTTTTAAGTTTTAGTATTTAGGCAAAAAAAAAAACGAAGTCATATTGGCAGGAGATAAAACAGAAATCTATTTGTCAATACAATATTTAGTTCAAACCTTTATTTCATAGATGGCTTAAACGTCATCGTTTTAATTAATTTAATCTCAATTATTATAAATTAATCATTTATATTTTTACAACTATTATAAGGATAAACCCAGAAAACGGCGAAATTAAATTTAACGATAAGATTATATAAAAAAAGCTTTCAAACAAAGTAATCTTTTACGATACAAATAAAAGTTATTTAAAGCGAAAATAGAAAATCTCAAAAATAAACTTGAATGATGTTTGGCAGAAAGTTACTTTTCAAAATGTGCCATCATTTGGCACATTCTGCCCAAACTTAGACGCCAACAGTTAACGACTTCACTTCTTCCTCCTTGCCAACACACGTTTTTAAATAAATCAAAATTAATATTACGCCCACGACGAGTGAATGTAAAAATTGATTAATTTTGAATTAATTATTATTTTGTTATGGAGTTATTAATCATTACTAAAAGGTGTAGTAAAACTCCCCCAATATCTAACATCATGCGCAAGTCCAGTAGTCTAACAGCATTATCTCCAGTAAATATAGAGCTCGGTTAACGTTTTACGTTTTAGTTTCGCTCGCGACGTCGTGAAGTTCAAACGAATCGCTGTTTCGACGCGTTTTCGAATCTCCGCGTGGTTTGACGATCTAACAATAGTTTTTCTGTTTTTGTTTATAATTTGTTTCACAAATCTACAACAAACGGATTGCATCAAGTTAAGAATTAAAAACGGAAAGATGGACAAAGGTAACTCAACTAAACTATTTATAGCTTAATATAGTTTAACATTTAGACAAAATTTAATTATTCGATTCAAAATTATAGATTTTTGAATTTTTATTTTTAAGTTATTAGAGAAAAACGTGGCTAATTGTAACTTTCCGACGAACGAGGAGTAAGACTCCTCTCTTTGGGGTTTCTGAATAATTTTCAACGTCGACTTTAAAAGTTTAAAAAGCCACTTTTCTATTAACAAGCGCGGCGGCTCCGGAACGGGTTTTAAAATCAATATTTGTTTTTGCTTCGGCTTTGGAAGTTATTTAGTTTCGTTGTCGACGATTAAGGAAGAAGATCGCGTAGATCTCGGAGTGTTGTCTAAAATGAACCCGATCTTTTTGTATCAGCACAAATTCCTGTACGATATCTTTATCTTATATATTATTAGACATTATTTATTTTTTTTAATGTTATCTTGTAATGGACTTCGTTTTTGTATAAGTAGCCTAATTGTATAATTTTAAAATAAAGTCTTTATGTTACGCATTGTTGAGTCATCATGCCGTTGTTGATGATGCATTATGCTTTGCATAGAGCAATTTAAAGTTGTTATTCTAATATTTCCTGTTATTGCGTTTTTTGGAATCATCATTTTGTTTTTGTGGAATATTTATCTCTTGTAATTTATACTCCTTAATTTTCTTGTTGAATTGTTTCCATAAATCTTGGTGTATCGTTTTTATTTGTTTTATTACTTTTGGGTGTCGTGATTTTGGAGAGATTCCTACAGCTGGAGCTGTATTCTGGCATAATGGGTATGGGTATGGTACCGAGGTAGCTTGTGGCCGAAGCACTGTAGTCTATCTATATTCTTTCTTGTGATAAAGATGACCAGCTTTCCTGCTAGCGTTTGGGCAGTCTTCCAACTGGACTTGATTCCTGGTTTTTCACTGTTGGAAATAATTCACGAGCACACCTGTATAATCTGAACGCGTGTGTCTAGCGCAATAAAATTTGGTATGGAAGTAGTACTAAAGTAGTATAACTTAGTATAACTTAAAATTTGATGAATTTGTTGCTCTTTCAAGTTATTAAAGGTAACACTTCGGAATCGGAACATACTATAGGAAATCTTTTATAACAAGCATTGTTGCAAATTTTATTGTTAACAGCATTCGACCTGTCTTTCCTAATCCTTTTCTTCTCACCTCAATCAATCCTATTATATGTATGCCAATTTGTGTTTTTTAGTTCTTCTAGCAATTCCTCTAATTTCTCATCTTCTCTCAAAGTTCTACAGTTATAGGTCAGTATTTCAAATATTTTTTTATTATGATGTCGATTTATCCTTTGCATCTCTTCTCCTTTATTCTGTATATTCTGTGTGTTTAGCCAGGTTGTAGGGTAGTATGTTTCCATTTTCGATTTTCTTATTTTTGCCATGGTCGTTATATTTGAGTGTAGATTAGTATTATAATTTAATTGCTAGATATTGTTATTTTGTGTGTTTTTCGTTGCTGTCTTTGCTTTTGTGTTTTGCTTGTTTAACACGTTGATTGCCACGAAAAGTATTTAAATATTAAATTAATTCATGTTATTACTGAAAAGACTCGGGAGTCGAAGCTTTTCACAAAAAAACATTTAGAACAAAATTTGTAGCAAATCTTATTCTTAACAATATTGCTCTCTTGCTCTTTTACTCTTAGATGCGTCAATATCGAGGTAGATACGAAAATATAAAAATTTGATGAATTTATTGCTTTTTCAAGTTATTAATAACATATAGG